TAATGCTGTTCTAGAGCAATATCTTTCAATATGGACAAGTACTAGTACTATAAACAAAACTATATAAATTAGATTTGATAAATAACAGGGACTGTGCCATGCATGGCTTATTTAAATTTACATTGATAAATATATATATAAAGCTACTGTAAAATATATTTTTGGGAAACTAAATGTAGTGTAGTTTAGTTAAACTTCTGTGAAAAACCATATATAATGTATTAGCTTTGAGCTCAGAGTCTTGGTAACAATTTGCATATATTTTAATCTGGTCCTATTTTGAAATAAAAGTTTAACAGGTTGGACATAGTAAGGAATCCAAATGGCCAACACTTGCAATCAAATACGATATATAGTAGATATTATTTGGCAATAGTCCTAATTAACTATTCAAAATATCTAGACGTTTTGAGCAATGGCGCTTATTTATTTACTGCAATTGAATACATTTGTCCATTATCATCATATCCAAGAACACAGACACATTCCATTGCCGATTTTATATCTCAAATAGCCACTAGGTGATTAAAATTTATGCGCAAATGGCCAAATAAAAACCCAACCTTTGCCAAGATTTTACATGCCAACATTGTATTTTTTATGGCCAAAAATGCCCATGGAAGGTGTTCATCCCCTATTTGTAGCTGCACACAAAAATTGCAGTGGATGAGACTGTACATGTACACATTGTTTGCACAATGCACCTGTATACAACAGTCACACATGAATTGCGCCATTACAGATTCATCACAGAATCATTGCATTATAGCTCAATGGTGGTGATCAAACCAGAAGAATTGTAACACAGTACCAGTCAATAAGACCTTTCTTCAGTAGTAATCCATTATGAAGAAAAATCATTATTGTTTAGTACTCGACCAGTATTGGAATGTTATGTTCATTTTACAAACTTTTAAATGACTGAATCAGCTGATATATTATTGAAGGGTCGACACTGAAATTAATAAAAACAAAATAGTCACCAATCGGTCATTTTTGTTCAAATCTCAAAGGAAAATATGTACATGTATAATCCAATATTCATAATCCTAGTACAAAATTTGCATAACATAGCCCATAGCACCTCAGAGAAATTGTTTCGGACACGTTCACTGACTACAATTTTATGATTTACGACAAATTATATGTCAATAAAATAGATCTGTTCATCATGTATTGTCTTTGTCAATACATGTCTGAAAAATAGATGAGTGGATGAACGGAATTAATGACCAGAAGTAGTCATCAAGAGACATTAAACTGAGAAACAATTGTCGGGATTAATACCAGTAGTTATCACCTGCCTTCTTTGGTTTTGTTTACAATGCTATGAGTGACTATTTATTATATCCAACTGTTGTTTACTATGTTTGCCAAATAATTTTCTTTCAGTCACAGTGAGCAAATACAGACATGATATGTTCTTCTGTAATTTACATGTCCTGAAGTTACTAATATTAAAAAGCTTAATTTTTGCTATGTTACACTATTTTGCATATTAGTCATGTGACAATGGTCAAAAGAAGACAAGGTTTTTATCCGGACTACCCATGTGTGGTTTATGATTGATACACATTTAATAGATATACTCACTGTAATTGCATTGCCTTCTTTAAGATATGAGGTAGTTGGTTTCAGAAAAATGACTGGTTCTGTGGGAACTTTATTGCCCAACTCGGCAGCATGTTCGCTGAAATATACAAACAAATAAATTCATAATTTCTATTTTGGGTTTGTGCTTTATTCAAAAGCATATATAGAACACCTCACATTACTAAAAGATATGACATTCTTGTGAAAAAAAAAATTAATTTCTTATATTATTATAATTACATATACCGGTAGTTTGATTGTTAATTGATCACATGTTCTTTTGTTGTTAAGCACAAGTCCATTACGTAGTCTCCATTAATAATTTCAGTGTAGAGGTTTCACACATGGACTTTGATGATCTAAAGCATTAACAGCATTACCCGCCTTGGATATAGCAAGTAAATTAAAGTGGAAATAATCTTCATTGAACTCGTATCCTCATTGGGATTTTGATCACATAACACCAATTTAATTTTATGGATGACATCCGCGCGCGCATTAGTTTTCGCCTGTTCTC